TTATGCACTTGCCTGAGACCTGTTCAGGGTTTTCCTCTGCCTTTGGGATCACCAGCTGATCATCGTCAAGTTCAGGCGAGAGCAATCTGCAGGGACAATGTCCTTGCTGAATCCTAACACTTGAGAGGTCTGGAAGGAACCTAGTTTAACTTATTTATAATGCAGGGCTGCCTGAGGGGAGGTAAAAAATTATAGGAAATAAGATTTCATCAGTTCTGCTTCTCACAAGTTACACATCCACAAATAAGAATTTCACTGGAAGATCTGATGAACTTTTTTATCTGGACAACTCTAGGCAAAAGAGCTCTGCTAGAAGTAACTAAATCCTTAAGGGCTCCTCTTGTCTGTTTTTGAGTTGAAATTACCTGAAATTTATTTCCTTTTTACGTTTTTGAAAAACTTAATTCTGTATTCAAAGAGGAAAAGCTGCTGGTTTGGGGATATCTTCCAGGCATAACAACAGGATGAGCAGTAGCCTTTGGGAACTGAGCACACCTGTAAAAGCAGTGTTCCCAGACTCCATTCCCAGACACCCACTTTTGCTCACAGCTCCATGGGGAACTTTCAGACATGCTCAAAAACTCAGATATGAGGTGGTTTACTCCCATCTTCCACTTTTAACAGATTAAGTTAATTTGGCTAATTTTGTTTCACGTTGTTTAGCCATTTCATTTTTGCTACTCCTCATTGGGTGAATTTATTCCTAAAGTTATGCATTAGCAGCGTTTCTTCAGAAAAAGGAAATTTGATCAATTTGATCTGTGATCCACAGACTCTACTGCTCAAAACCAGGAAGCAATATTTTTACTAACAAAAACACTGATCAATTGAGAAAATTGGCCATTCCATTAAGAAAATTAAAACATGATGTTGGTATAACTAGAACAGAATTTTAGCTAAAAAGCTTATCTGTATTAAGAGTGGTAATTATATTGTTGCCATCACAGAGTTGAATTTCACACTATGTTGGCTGCTGCATCCAGAGATTAACTCTTTTTTCATTTCATGTATTTTGCAGAGATTCAAGCTACACCTCTTAGGGGTTTTACAAGGAAACAGAAGAAACTTTTTTTCCAGTTTATTAGGAAACATGGATAAGTCTAGTTTTAACAATAAACGCTACTAGAAACAATATCAGTTGCTGAGAGCAACTGAAATTGGACTAAAATTCTTGATCAAGAACTAGAACTAAAGTTCTTCTTGATACCTGAGCTAGGCCAGTTCTGCTAAACTGCAGAATGTGAAAAGTGCAGGTAAAGCATGTGGAAGAATGGAAAGTGAGAATAACCATGAGATGAAAGGGAGGATAAAAATGGCATCCTAGTAGCAGATGAAAGTCACGCACAATACATCACCTTCTTTTTTCCTTCAAGCTGTCCCAATAATAGATACGAAAATGACCACAAGAGAAACTCAGGATTAGAAACATATGTACCACTGCCTTTGTAACTTTGAACACTGCAGTATGCAGAGAGCACAACATCAATGTTTTCTCCTGCCCTCTTGTTACAGAGCCTGCACTGAAGTGTTTTCTGTGGGCTCGGCACACGGCATTGCTGCATCAATCAGCGTGACACCCTGTGGGTTAATGCACAGAAACTCCCAGGTTAAGCCCTCCCTGTCTCAGTTCCTGATGTCAATATACAACAGAGCCATCTCATTGCATCTAAACTTGAGTTTCTCCACGGGTGGATGAACAGCATAAAGCCCTGTGCCAGGTCTGAGCTCAGCCTCACACTTTTGAAATTCTCTGGGGCTTCCAAAACTCTCTGATGGATTTAGATCTCCAGCTTTCCTGAATGGCTTCAATAATAGCCACCCAGACACTGAAGTCCAATTCTAAGGCAGCCTATGTTATGCGAGGGCAAACATTTTGGGTAGATTGTAGATTTTAACACCAAAAATCTGCATCACACCTCCATGCATTTGCCAGTTCTACTTAAGTGTACCTGGCTCAGAGATGATGTCTTAAAACATCATCAGTGGAGGGGTGAATAATTATTACTTATCTTTTAAGACTGAATGATTTTTACTTCAGGGAGAAAAATACAGCCATAATAGAAAACCTGCCTCCAAATGCTGCACTGTGACTACAGTCCATGAGATCAAGTTGGCCCTTCCCACAATAATTATCTTCCACTCTCATCTGAAGGGAAAAGTAATTGACCTATGGCACAAGATAAAGAGGGCTCTAGCATATATGATATTTTATATCGTGAGCACTTAGCAAACCTATATGGCAACTTTGTGCTTAGCAGTGTAACTATCTCTGTACACCTATGCAAAATAACACAATTATCTTTGGAGTTAAAGGTGAACTGTCAGCTAAACCAAAGAAGTTGCTATTAATTTTTGTGATAAAAAAGCACTTCACCAACATATTTGATTTTTCAATTCAAATTGGAAATACTTCTTTGGAAACCAGTGCTCTCAGTAATCCTTTTAATTAATAGTATCCAGAATACAATAATTTCTATATTATGTACCTTAAGTCAACTGAAACATTACATATTGCATTTCTTTCACAATGTATTAACTTTCTGGTCAGGTGCTTCAGAAGAATTTAAGGATGAGGAGCACTACCCTAAGAAAAGCAAGAGATAATGCTTTAAGGTCAATCTTCAAGCCACAGTGTGGAATGAATTTGGCATCCACGGGATGTCAATGGAGGTCTGCATTTTATCTGTATGCAGGAGATGGATGTGTGTTATTTTAAAACTAGATCTCATTACTGATTTTATTAGGATAATTTTGCAGGTTTTTAGAGGGGATGGCTCTTTTCCCAGTATTATTATTCAGTGCCTTCTGGTAGCTGATAGAGGGAGCTGTTATCACAAAATGTCAAATGCCAGTAATGCAGAGACAATGTCCATTATCTCTCTCACTTGCACTACAGGACAGAGTATTCAACAAGTTTGGTGCTCAGTCAGACGGGGAAGTGCAGGAAATACTGAAGGTAGTTGCAGGTTTGGCAGCAGTGAGACTGGCATGATGAGAGAGTGATTGCAGTGAAGTGGAACATGCCGAACTGATGCTTGGAAACCATGAGAAGTATCATGTTTAATTAGTGTGGCTGTGCAAATGATGTAATGAGGCATTTGAGAATGAATTTGAATAGCAGTTGGATAAAAGATTAGTAATCAGGATGTCTGGCATCCATCAGAGGCCCAAGAGATGTCTGCACAAGACACGTTCTCACATGCATCAGAAATGTCCAGATACAGAAATACACACTGACACAGGATGCTGCAAAGAGATGGTGGAGTAGCCACTTGTAAGGAAAATCTGGGCAGCTGCAAAGTGGAAAGCTGAGGATGGGGCAGGACCCCATAGCACCTAGAAATCCAGTAGTTCCTGATACACCAGTAGTTACCAGTGTGACAGAGCCAAGCTGTGAACAGCAGCTTATGTTGGTAAAATTCAGGATTTCACAGAGTGTCTTACAGCAAATGCACGGTTCAAGGAAGTGAGGGATAAAGGATGAGATTTGCACAGAGGTAGCTCAATGAGGAAATTGCAAATTGCTGCTCTGCAGAAATTTCAAAGTGGTAGAGGTGTCATTATTCATACACTAGCCAAAAGCAATGGCCAAAAGCTGGCAGACAGCACCATCCCATTGCTCTGCAAGGTCTGCAAGTCAAAACAGATAGTGAGTTATTTGGTGAGGGAGGGAATATCTTTATTAATATTAAATAAATTACACCACACCTCTGTTAGAACTTGGCCGATGGGCAATGACCAGACCTAGCTACAGTGATTAAAAGACCTCATTCATATCTAATGATCACACAGAGTAATAATCTCATTGTAAAAGGCAATCAGACACTTGTTCACTCTTCTTATCTCTGCTCCACATTTGTAGTTACTAAGAAAGGATCTGCCTTTGATCATCTTTTCCTGTGCTGCTCTTTAAGCCATTTCATTAAAGGGCCAGAGTTTCCTGGATTAATGGCCATTTGTCATTTCCCCAAATCAATCTTGCCTTGAGTCTGTTGAGACCTTACAAACATTTCCTCAAATGTTTTTTTAGAATTACAGTAGCTACTAATGCTGTGCTTGGATGAAAAGGTTTTATTTTAAAAGACAACAAAAAACAACAAAACAAAAACCCTGCCAGAGCAGCTTCTATTTTTTATTTAAATGTATGGAAATCTTAACTGAATTTTTATTTTGAAAAAGAAATAAGCATATTGACTCCAGTTTTGTCTGCATATCTAAAAAGTCTTAATTCTTTCAACTTTTCAATCTGATTATTTTTTTGAGTTGCCTCCAGTGCCTGGGCTCAGCCCATCTGTCACTGTTGAGCTTTTTACTATTTCTATTTCATTTATATCTACCACATCTGCTTTTTAGGCTCAAGCCTGACCGGTAAACTTTTTTTAAAGAGTCAAATACTTTAATAAAATCAGTGCCATGCTAAAACCTCTTTTTTTTTTGGAGGGGAGAAGACTACCACCTCCCTTGTCTCAGGGAAGCATAGCCATTCTGGTTGTTCATAAAGAAAATTCAGTCCTTTCTACCGGTGGAGGGCTGAAGTTCAGTGGCAGAGCTTTTCTTCAGCATTCAGAAGCTGAGAGCTGGTAGTACTGCCATCCTACGGATGAAGGGAAATTTTAGTATTTATCAGGAATATGAATTTTGATTTGGGGTTTGTGGCTTTTTCTTCTACAGACAGAAACAACTTTCCAAGACTGTGAAATGCCATTGGTCATCCCCATCCTGTGCCAAGATTGCTTCCCATACAAACCTAGCATGCTTGCTAAGAGGCATAACAAATTTAATACAAACCACACAGAGACCTCTTACCCTTTTCAATCAATCCATGCATTCGTATCCAGCAGGTGTAATTTACTCCACTTTTGCCTTGGTGGTATAGAGATGACAAGACACTAAACATTCAGTAATTGTGTCTCAGCTCTTGGATACCAACACAAGACACATGTCACTAGATTTTCACAGATTTTACCTGCTCTTTAGGCAGGTAATTGCTTTGCACATGGATTTTTCAGAGCTGCTAATGTGTTAGTCATTAAGGTGACACCAGAGACCTAACTGAGGCTCTCAAAATGTTAATTCCAGAGCTGCTAGGCTATGACTGGTATCAGCTAAGACTATTAGCAGGCCTTTATCCTAAGCAATGAAATCCAGGCAAAAACATGCTGGGCCATTCACCAGGCAGCTGAAGCTCCTGCAAGTGACAGATATTTCTCACCTCTCCAGATCTTGCTGTGTAGTTTGGACAGGGGGGTGACAAAGGTGTAGCTTGGTTTGAGGTTTCAGGTCATTTCAATTATTCCTGTCCCTAAATGGGGTAAAAGCATACAAGCTGCTGCTACCAAGCCATAGTGGGACATCACAATTTGACTTGCTCCTGGGTGCCCTCTTTGGTGAGCTTGTGCCACAGAGGAACCCACACACTCATCACATTCAACGTAAATTGAAATTTGAAAAGTGGGCTGGTCAGAGTTTGCTCTTGCTCAGCCTCAGCATTGTGCAAGCCACAACACTACGTTCTGGATGTCTAATTAGATGCCTCCATCAAATACAGCTACAGTTTGGAAATGTGATTGCATTGCTTGGATTTTTACTGTTTTAATAGTAATTCACCTAAGTGACTCCCGTTCAATGGAGAGGTGTACACAGGTCAGCTTCATTCAGCTGGGGTGGTTCAGTTCGATCAGAATTCAATTCTTGCAATGAAACTTCCCACAATTAGGCTGGCCAGGACCTGCAAGATGAAATTTTGATAACAAATGACATTCTTTTCAAAGGAGGCCTGAAATGCCTGACTGGCAAGACAGAAGGCAGCAGAGAGCTGAGGAATCAAACCTCGCAACAACCCTTGTTAAACCCACAGTGATGGAGCTACCATGCATCTTATTGAAACAATAAAAGCTGTTTTATATGGACCCAAAAAAACAAGGGATTCAAGGAAATGTTTCTCACAGCTGAGTGGGTATTTCCCAGGACTTGTTGGTTTTATTACCTCATCTGTGTCCTTAGCTATGAGCAAAGTAGTGCTGAAAGCTCCCCATTTAAAGCAGGCCATAGCAAACAGAGATTTACCATCTCTCTAAAGCTTGTATAAATTTACTGTGGGCACAAGCTCAACAAAAGCTTATAAAAGAGGTACCTGTGGCTTCCAAATTAAGCCCATTTTCTCTAATTAGCCTCCTTCTTCACAATTTTCCTTTTTCCTCTACTCTTAAAACAGTAAAAAAAAGCAATGGCGATACTGTGAAGGCCATAAAATCCACGTGCTTATGCTGAGCAGGGACTTGACATGTTGGAATTTTGCTGGAAGAGAAGTACAAACTTCAGCTGCAAAATGGCCAAGGGAAATTAAGCGTTCTGGTAGACTTGGACATGGTTGTGAGAATTCTTATCCATTTGCCTAACATTAATTTCTGCTGGTTATATTCTGAAGGAGTTTGTCCTCTCCTTGGAAGTTAATTCCCAGCATAACTGTTCGTTGTTTACAAGCCAGTTTCTTTTAACTCCTCCTGCTGACAGAGCAAAACCTCATTTCATCCTTTAATCTGATGAAAGTCTTATTGAAAGCAGCCAGCACAGAAGTAGTTTATGGCAAATGCTGTCCTTGCTGTTAGGTTATCATTGCAAAGAGCAGGGACAGGTAATTTGTTTGTTAATGTTATGCAACTGCAAATAAAAGACCTGTTCTAGGACCCTTCTGTAACAGAGGAGCTCTAAGCTAATAATTTTAATAAGTAGACTAAGAGGGGTGAATGTCTCTAGTAATTAGAAATGGTTACAGAGCAAAGAACGTGGTTCATGTGCTGGGCTCAGAATTAAATCTTGGCTCTCCACAAGCCTAGTTCACCTAGCACTGCTTTAAACTCTTTCTACAGCATTCAGAGAGTGTGTACAGAGAGCACAAGGTGAAAATCCTAGTTATCTTTGGCTCCCTGTTTGGATTCTTCAGGACTAAGAGCATCTCATCTTTCCCAGCTCTGTCACACAGGCAAAGGATACCTGCTGCCACTTCCCTAGGGAGCATGAAGCATAAATTGGGCAACCCACAGCCTGTGCCAAGCTGCAGAACTATCCCATCCTTTATTTTCAGCAACTTAAAATTTCAACCAGATCTCCTGGAAGACAGTTATATTCAGGGATCAGAGAGACTGTGGGTGGGGGGAAGCAATTCTCTCTAAGACATGGACTTCAAAACCAAGGAGTTTTTAGTTTTTAAATCCAGATTAAAGAGCTTAATAAAAAGTGCTTCAGATCTGAACAATGACCCAAGCACTGCACAAAGAATTAATTCCTGTGTTTTATTCAGCTGAGCAAGAGGTATGCTTCTCTGGAGAAGTAGCCAGTCCTTTAGACAGATGCTGCTCCTAGGTAAGGATCTCAGAGAGAACGTTTCTCTTCATCCTCTTGGCTGGCAGATTTATGTATGCTTATATGAACAATTCCTTTGTGTGGGACATGTAGTGTTCTTTGCCTCAAAAGAAGGGTGAGCATGGCCATGGCACCTGGACCTATTCACACATCAGTTCTTGGCAGCAGTTGTGGTGTCTGGAGAGGTTAGAGCCCTTCCCCTACCCTCCTTCTGCCCACTGGGGCAACACTGCAGCTAAGCACAGTGTGAGTAGCCACCCTTTGCTGTCCATCTTGCCCTTGGCTGAAGCAGGGTGGAAGGTACAGTGATGTCCAGGTGGGAGAGGCATTAGACAGGGCAGACTGGCATCTCTGTGTGCAGCACCTGCAGCGACCCAAACACACTCTCAGTCAGCCAACAGGCATTTGTCTCCACAAAACAGTGAAAAAGCATCTCCTTTCAAACAGTCCCCTGTCCTGATTTAATTGCAAAAGGGGAAAAATAAGTTCTACCAGAAGGATAGGTAGCTGAATCACTCACAACTTACAGCCTGCAGGAATGAGCCTGGATAACCAGGGAGGTTCTTTCTGCTTCTAAGTACACATTGATCTATGCACTGCATGCTGAAAAACTTCAGGCTTTTATTCTCTACCAACAAACCAAACAAGTGCTGTCATTTAGGCTTTAGCAGATATTTACCCCCCTTCCTGCCTCTCCTCAGAGACATGAATAGTGTTATGAACACAAAGAAAATATCTCTGAAAAATAAAAGGTCTCACAATCAGTGGAGCCCAAGAACTAAACAGAGCGGGCCTGGAAATCTTCAGTTCTCCATAAAGGCATCATATAGAGATAACATACATATAGTGCAACACTTGCTGGCCTTTTTGTTTTAGCAAAAAAAGTTATTATCAAATCACTTTGAAATGTTTACACTGCATGGGAGGTTTTTCTCTGTATTTGTTGTTTTCAAAATATGGTCATCTTTTGTCTTCACACAGAGATCTTGATTTTTACCTTTATCCAAAGTTGACAATGCTAACCCAAAAATTAATTCAGTGAAGGTGCTTAACAGGACAATAGTAATAAATTCCTTCAAAATAGCTGGAGAAATTAAGGCCTATTAAGACATGGAAATGATGGATCAGATAGCATTTAAGTAATCCTCTAGTAGTTGCTTAGCCTAATTTAAATATAGGAAGAATATCACGTTTCATCAGCTTCCATCTCCAGATTTAAGAGCTTCTCAAGTCCTCATTTATACCTGAAGTGTCACTGGCACATACATTAAAGCTGACAAAATCCATTTACTGCAGCAAGCTGTTCGAGTTCATCTCCTTATTTTCTCCAATCATGTTAATTTGCCTTTAGTGTTCTTTGTTTATAAAAAAAGAAACAAACAAGCACTTTATGTTTATTAGTCTGAAGTTCTTCCACAAACATTTACAGGCATTTAGGAGCTGCACTTGTTGATCACTGCTGGCATTCAGTCCAACTGTTCTTTAAAATTCCCAGCATCTCTGATCCTCTGGACACTGCTCCTCCCTATCTCACAAAAACTCAAACAAACCACCAGCCTTATAAAACAATCTGTCCCCAATAA